TCTCCTTTCCCCCTCTGGTCAAAATCTGACCAGAGGACTATGGCCAGGATCAACGAAAGGTAGGTCCAATCTGGCCCGACGAAAGAAGAAAGAAGATACAACAAAGATAAGTGGTCGATTGACCACAATAGTGGAGTAGGATATTTATTTTATTTATAAATAGGACAATTATTCTATGTATGATTTTTCTCAGTTTTCAGATTTTCTACATTTCGGGTGGGTTGTATTTCGGGTGGGTTTCTCGCCAGATTATCCAGCATATAGAATTTAATCCCTAAAAAGTTTAACCCCTAAAAAATTTCTTAATAAATCGCGTATCGCGTCGTGGTTTTAATTAAAGATTTAATATTTTAAATGATATTTAAATGATTTAATATTTAAATTGAAATACGCGTAAGTAGGCAAATTATTAGGAAAAAATATGAATAGATAGAAATACGGATAGAGAGGAATACGGGTAGGTAGGAATATAGCACTGTTAAATCTCAGCAGTCTCGAAAGGAGAATGTAGCCCGGACACGCACCACGAATTGTATACCCGCGGTACAGAAAAGTGAATGTTGCTATGTAGTTTACATCCACTTCTTCAGGGAGCGTTAGTGCACGAGGGCATTTAGAGTAACATGCAAAAGGTTGTCGTATCCTCTCTCAGGTTTTTCTCTGCTTTACTTTCGAAAAATTGTGCATTCGAAAATACATTTCCGTATTCATAGTAATATAAGTGGTGATAAATTATTTTGTATAATACTAACAATAATAAACTAAACAGTTACTGATTTTAATATAATTATGCATAATAATACAATTATAAGAATTATTATTTTTTTCTTAATATTATATGTATAACGTCGCCGCCGCGACGTGCGTCGCTATTGGCGCGCAAAGTTGTCTGCGCGAGAGATGAAGCCGCTTCATCTTCAATAGCGTTCTCCTCATACATATTTTCAGAATATGATGGATACGAGATGAATCGGCTCTGGAACGTAAACCTTCGCGATTCATATAAATAATAAGTGAAATTTGAATTTGCATTTAATTATTGTATAATATGGATTTGGCATGTTGATATTCAGTCGAACGCGTGTTTCGCAGTACTCGTTCGGCCAAAAATTAAAGCAAGTAACATCGTCGCGTCGCTATATTGGCGCGCAAATAAGGCTGCGTTCCGTTTCACGCATGATGCGCATGATTTCCTTTTATCTTTGTTTAACAACATTTGGTGAACAACAAGGATACCATGATAAATCATGCGCGTCATGCGTGAAATGGAACAGCCTCTATCATTTTAAAAATGTTCCCTTTTCATTTTCAAAACGCGGACACGGGATGGATCGGATCCGGAATGAGAAGCGTCGCGATTGATATAATTGATAAGTGGCGAACTTGTATTTGCACGCA